AGAGAGAGAGAGAGAGAGAGAGAGAGAGAGAAAAGACCGAGTTACCGCGCGCGTGAAAATTGTGGTGAAAAGGTGAAACTCAGCGATCGGCGGCGTGTGTGTGTATGTATGTGTATGTGTGTACACGCCCTCGTGCGCTACATTGTCGCTGCTTAGCTTATAACCAGACAGCAGTGCTAAGTCGATGTAACAGCTCGGCACGTCCATCGGTGAGATAGACTACATTCAGAGACCTCGTGCATTCACTCGCTCTCAGCACATGCCAGCGCGCATTGAGCGAGCGCACGAAGTGCGTCCGCCATTCTGAGCAACGGGAAAGTGCGTAAATGGCAACTCGCACCGCGTCGTCACTTTACAACAATAATGAAAAGGGTTAAGAAAAGGTCTTGGTTCTATTTCAGCGAGCGAGCTCAATCGGCCCCAGGTGGTTTTCAACTTTCTGAGGAGTCCAGTGCACGCTTCGTACGGTTAATGGAACGAAGACAAAAACAAAAATGTCAATTCAACCATCCTCGCAAACAGTACGAATGCTTCTCTCACTCCACAACACACACGCTCCCGATATTTCAGAAAATCTCATAAACGCAGACATGATTCTATTAAAGCATTTCTGTCGCGGGATCTCGCGAGAGTTAAGCTCGCGCACACACTGTCAGGGGAGAAGGAAACCCACCGTTTGCACCTGCGAAGACACTAGAGGCCCAGAGACACCTGGCGATCTGCGTGTACGCGAATGTCATCAGAATAAACGGACACACGTACAAGGCGAGAACCTGAAATGTAAAAATACAAAACACATTAAAGAAATACATAAATTTAAAAAAAATCTTTAAAAAAATGCAATTTTTCTTCCCTGCAATGTCGTATATGTATTGTACAATTATGTGTGCGTGTGCGTTTGAGAGTTCTTAAATGTTGGGGTTCAGTTTTATATCAATATTTCCTTTGGAAACAATGCAAACAAAACTGGAAACTTTCTATATGAATATTCACAATCAATATTCTATTCAAACGCTAACTAGTGGGGTGCAAGCTTATAGAAAGTACATTCGTGTTTGTGCGCCCAGTGCGTAGGTGTGTGCGTGCGTATGTGTGTGTCCAGGTGCATGGGTGTGGGCATGCTTGTTTGCATGCGTGCATGCGTGCGTGCGCGCGTGTGTGCGTGTGTGCGCGCGTGTGTGCGTGCGTGTGTGCGCGCGTGCGTGCGTGCGTGTGTGCGCGCGTGCGTGCGTGCGTGCGTGCTCACCTGGAATATTCTCCACGCGTTCTCGCTCGTGTCGTCCCACGCCGGCGAGCACTGAGTCAGCAACACAGTCAGATGGCTGTTGTCGAGCACGGGTTGCGTGGACAGCACGAACAGTTCGGGCACACTCAACAGGATGGACGCTACCCAGATGCAGATGACGATGACCCGAGCACGCGACGCCGTCGCCTTGAACTTCAGAGGATGACAGATGGCGTACCATCGCTCGACGGATATGGCACTCAGGGTGAATATGGACACGGAGACGGAGACGGACTGCCGACAGAAAAAACAGCGAAAATGTAGAAATCGTATAAAAAAGCATTGTAGTTCGTTCGTGACGTGCGGTTCGTTGAGGGGGGGGGGTCGCCGAAAGAAAAACTTGGCTCAAAATACGTTCGTGTGACACGCACGGAAAATTCATGCTGCGGTCAGCGCTCCCCTAGACATTGTTAATTGACGGGATAGTATCAGAACTGCAGGTGGATGCGTCTACGAATGACGCCGCAACGCTACCTAGCCTGTATCGTTGTAAAATGGCATCCGACAGGTTGTCAACTTTAGTCGCTCCGAGAGCTGTAAAGTACACCAATGCGGCGGGAAAGTTTTTTCCGTTATTCACAATGCGGTATCGAGGCGACAGCTTACAACTAACACATAATATCTCTACCACCATGCACACAATGTTCGTTTAACCATATAATCCGCGATATATCCAACTAAAACCGCCCTTCTGTCTTCTTCGAAATCTACGTACCAATTTGACAACATAAAGTCTACAGTGATAGTAAGGTCCATGTAGATTTTGTTGACCCACAATTAATTTCCATAAATGGGGGGGTAGGCCCTTTAAAATCGGTCAAGGTCTTGTTCAAGGTGTTGCCTATTCATTTCTAGCAAGAAATATATCCTTAGTTTGCAGGAAGGCGGGACAAAACGCCGTTTAACCGACGCTGTTGATAACAGAATTCGCGCGTACATCACGACATAGCTGAATAAATACTGCTATTCTTTGTTTATTCACTCCTGAATACCTCACAAGCTAACCGACACTGAGATAAAGCGACGAGTTAGCCTTTAACAAGTGATGCGAGCGCGATTGTTCGTTATAGTCAGCGGGTAAAGCACAGCATCGAAACTGCAACGAAACCGAAACAGAACAAAATTATGACAATAACGTCGTCGTTAAATTTAGCGAATCACATTAAAATACTAACAGTACAGGGGCGTAGCTACGGGCGGCCTGGGGGGTACGTGCCCCCCACAAATTTTCTGTGCCCCCCAGGTGCCCCCCCTACTGAAAATTCATGCTTGATAAAAAAAAATTGAATTAAAAACAATGTCGTTAGAACAGTATAATACAAAGAAAGAGGGTTCGAACCACATCTCAGTAAAATTATATATTGTGCCCCCCCCCCCCCCCGAAAATGTAAGGCCCCCCCAGTGCCTCCCCCCCCCCCTAAAAAAAATCCTAGCTACGCCATTGTAACAGTACCGCTGCGCAACGCATTAGCTTTTGCGCGAAGATGCAAAACCATAATTCATGTCTATTGCAGATGGCTGCGCGATCAATAATTTGGTTGAGATGACCTAACCCTAGGAGTTATTACGGTTGCAAATCATCCAATGAGCGACAGGTAAGAGTGAGATCGTTTTGCGGCGTATCCGGATCCCTGCGCTTTAATTTTTTATTACTCAATGGAAAGGGTTAAAAAAATTTTACTTTCAGAAACTAGAATCCTTGCTGAATCTGACAGTGTGGGTGGTCCGGTGTGTGCACTTCTGTGACGGCCGGGAAATTTTCAAAGGAACCTACTTTTTCGCGTAAAATCTCGTTGCAAAGTGGCCATTTCATGTGTGTGCCGGGAAAAGTTGACACACACACACGCGAAGAATATTTCAGTTACTCGTCGTGGATTTATTTTCAATTCTTTCATGTTGGTTTCGACCGTAAACCAAATGCAGTGACCAATTTCTGCGGATTTATATGAAAAGAAAATTGTATAATACTGCTAACGGAAGAAACCTCCTCTGGTCTTATCAAAAATTGTACTGCATTGTTAGCAACGAAGGTCGAATAAAAACTCGCAAGTTCGCGTAAAATCTCGTTGCAAAGTGGCCATTTCATGTGTGTTTGGCAAAAGCTTTTTTGTGTGTTTTTGCAAACCGGGAAAAGACTGTTTGCAGAAAAAATTATGGAAGATCGCAGGTATGGCCGCCATATTCTAACTGTTCACATTCCAATCCCGAACCAAAGAGGGCGGCGGAGTAACAAATCCGATAAGATTAGTCTCAAAAGCAGATCATTTCGCTTGATTGGGATTAAAGATTCGCCCCTAGGTGACATCCACGAGTAATTAATCGATGTATGGGAGTGCATTATACAAACCTAACACGCTTTTCATCAGTCATGTCATCTCCGATATATTTACTGGTCTATGACGGTGGGTATATATATATAT